CGAACTTGTCCGGAGCTGTACCGATAGTGTGAACAGGCTTCCGATCGATTTTCAATTTTTGACAATATCATTTCGAATGTGCCTGCATTCATTCGAAAATATTTGACAAAAGAGGGTATGACTTTTAGGCGATTTGGGGACCGCTAGGTGAACGCAAATTTCCTATTTTTTCCTTCGTATTTTTTCCCGTAGAATTCAAAAATCGAACTTAAAATTACGCCAAGTAAAGGGAAAAATAGTTATAGACATTTAAACGTTGATTTTCTCTGAAAATCATGCATTTTCCAACACTGCCATCTTAAATATCTTTGACCTTTTTAGAAGTACTAAATCTCACGTTACATGGAAGACTTATTTTCTTGATAATGATATGAGAATATACTCTAAGCAGCAGAGAAAAAGCAGTTAATCGACCGAAATGGTTCCGAGCTTTGCCTTAAGCGGAGCGATTTGAGCGGCGAAAGCTACTATATGCTCGAGAAGAGGCTCCTTATATGCTTTTGTTTATTAATGCCCTGTATAATCCTGAAAAAGCTGGACTACAAAATCACTTTTGTACTATTTTGATAGTGAATATTTTTCTAATTGACTGCTGCTTTTTCTCTGCTGCTTAGAGTATATTCTCATATCATTATCAAGTTTTGAGAAAATAAGTCTCTTATGTAACGTGAGATTTAGCACCTCTAAAAAGGTCAAAGATATTTAAAATGGCAGTGTTGGAAAATGCATGATTTTCAGGGAACGTCAACGTTTAAATGTCTATATGTCTATATGTACTATTTTTCCTTTTACTTGGCGTAATTTTAAGGTTGATTTTTTAATCCTACGGGAAAAAATACAAAGAAAAAAATAGGAAATTTGCGTTCACCTAAAGGTTCCCAAATCACCTAAAAGTCATACTCTCCTTTATCCTCATTGTCTACTAAATGGGAATATAATGTGAAATATTCTTCTTCCGTTTTTCTATTGATCAAACTGGGATAAACCCACATAGATCTTTTTCTTATCTTTCCTTTTGTTTTACACTTCTCACTTTCTCTATCTGCATCGTTCATAGCAATTATGATTAATTCTTTATCACAAAATAACGCCAGTTTTCGAGAAAAAATTATAATGAACTTCACGACGAAAGGTAGAAATTATACTAACCATTTAGGATTGGATCGTGAGCGACTCGATAGTATGAATACTCAAGGAATATGGCCGTGAACAGATCGATAGTATGGATCGGGCCTTATCCGATCGCGCGTTCTGACGTGTGCAAACACAAATACGGCACGGCAACGCGGCCAGAAGAGACCCAGAGGACGAAAAAATCTCCCACAAAATGACACACGTGACACGAGCAGTTCGCGACGACGGCTTGGAAGGATTGAATTTCATGTTTTAAAAAAAACTACAGCTTCAAAATTTGAATAAATTTCGATGCTTTTTTTTTTTAATGAAGCTAATGAAATCTAGAACAACTTTGTCAAGTTTATCAAGAAATTTTTTAATTTTAATTTAATCATCAAGGACAAATATTGCTATTGAAATTAAATATACAAACCTTGATTATAGACATGAAAAAAGATATGTAGGCTGACAATAAAAACATATAGACTCACTAAATCTTACCTTAACGAAGAAGACTAATTGAAATAGTATCTAATTTTAGCAAATAAAAACTATTGAATTAAGTAAGATTAAATTATTACTTATCAATTTTTTTTATTAATTATTGTTCTTGAAATAACAAGTTTTGATTGATTGAAAAAAGATTCTAAATTTAACTTTTTTATGCGTTTGATTTACAAGAAGGAAAGCAAAAATTTAGTTCGTCAAATTTGTTGTAAATTTCATTAGTTTTTATTTAAAAAAAAGAACAAAATTGGTTCAAATGTCAATGCAGCAAAGCTGCAATTTTTTTTGAAATATGAAATTTTATTTCACTCCACTGTACGACGCTAAATGGAGTCAGTGATCCGGAGACCTTGTATGGTAGCGAACGGTTGGTTCGATAAAACCAGTTGCATGTTGCTGCTCTAAACGACGATATCTACAGACTCTGTTCGCGAACTAAAGTCAACCGATGTCGCGTTTCTATCCTATGTCTCTAACCGTCAATTATAGTTGATTGTGAGAAAAAACGAGCCGTTATCATAATAAAGCATAGAAATTTAGAATTCTCACCCGCGACACTACCAGCGTAAAGTTATCATCTTGAAATTAAATTCTCCATTTGTATTCTAACAGAATTGTTACGAGGAAAAAATCTCGAAACGTCCTAAAAGTAATAGTCGATGAAAATTTTCTTAAATTCAAATAATAAACCGATAATTGAAATCAATCGTCATATGTGTAATTACGGATAATTTGATGAAATTAATTACTAAAATTAATTATTAATCAGTATAATCGATCATATCAAAGTTAAATTAATAATTAATTTCATCAATCGACGGAATTCTTTGTGATTCTATACTATAATAATAAATTAACTTTTATTATTTTAGGAAAAAAAGCTTTAATCTCAATGCCTAATACTTCTCAAAAGTAATTCCTGACTTGGTAAATAATATATAGAAAGAAAAATATTTAAAAAATAAAAAATATGTATTCTTTAATAATTTCTATTTTAAATTTAAAAAATTTAGAATTGTCATCCGTGTAATATATTTATTTATACTATCGTTGCATATTTCTGTCGTATTTTTGGACAAATCTAAATTGACATATTTTTAGAGAAGAATTTATTTAATTAATAATATATTAACTATTGTTATCAACTTGTAAAGATGGTGTACAAATAAATCAGCAGTGCAGTTCAAAAACAAATTTAATAATTTATTGCGCGTCAAAGATAAGCGCACAAAATACGACAGAAATTACGCAACAACCCACATTGAAAAAATTATTTTTGTACTTGGAACTAAAATATTTAATACCCACAATTTAGTTACCATTTTATATTTTTTACTTGTCTGTCAAGCAGATATATCATTGAGAAAACGAAATACATATAGCGACAATTAAATTTTTCAATTACCAAACATCTGTTTGATTCCATTTAACCAAATTATAATCCAGTGTACTAAATTTTCTCTTCGACAACAAAATTCTTTTTTCAGTGTAACAATATTAAACATTTTCGAATAAGAAAACATATTTTTTTATTCGTCTTCTTATAAATCTTAGCTTTTCATGAAAGCAATTGTTTATCCTATTTAAATAAAAGAATTTAAATTTAATTATATATATATATATATATGTATATATATATATATATATATATATATATATATATTTATATATTTATATATAAAATACCCAATGTAAATAAATATATTTTATTCTTAAGATTTTTTCTCAGTGTGTACGTAAATGTTCAGAAGTCGTGGTTTATGAATAATGGATAGAAGATAGTAACCATGTACGTTGCGTGAACACAAAGTTTCAAATCGGGGCACAACGCAAAGTACAGAACAGACTGTAAGTTGCACAGAGCAATTACTTTAAGAGCCGCAGTAATCTTCAAATTGGAACGGACATCTGCCCGTTGACTTCGCGGCTGACACTTTGTTCTTGTTCTATGAAAATGTAGCGATTTATGGCTCAATATTTAACTCTGATTTACTCTGCCCCGTACACGAAAGAAAGTGTATCAAAGATAAAACATTGACACAGCGCGGCGCAAATCGATATTGCGCAAAGGCTTTATCGTCAGAACATATATACGTGGACGTCTTTCGTTCCACAAAAATCTTTGAAGCACCGCGCACTATCGCAAGATATACAACGATCGAGCACAGCTCGAGAGAGATCTAGTTGAAAGATTTTACTCGATTCAATGAAATCAACTAAAAGAAAATTGAATGATTTCGTGACCAAAAACTCAAAAGTTCTTTCTGCTCGTGGAATTTCGCGATTACTATGTCAACTTTACATGTGTGATATTTTTTTTAATATTTTACTACATTTCTCCTTTTTCTATATATATCTTCTATCTTTTCTCAAATCTAAAAAGACACACTTATGTGTCTGTATCCTTTTTTTTTCTTTTACAATATTTCAAATAAGTCTGCTCACATTCTGTAATCATAGAATATTATACTCCACTATTGTTTTCAAAAATATACTTATATGCGGAGTTGCCTCAAAAGCACTGAATAAATGATATTTTAATAACAACAATAATGTTTTAATGGCAATATACGGAGATTATATTTTACGGATAATAATAATATACGGATATATAATTTCTTTTTATATAAATTCTTTTCGATTTTACTACATTGACAAAAAAATACTTGTAAATTCATGTGTGTGGGAAATGAAATATAAAATTCTTGTAAAATAAACTTCATTTCTTACAAATAAATTTCCAAGTAATTTTTATTCAAATAGTCAAGTGTTCAAATTTTTATTTAATTATTACATTGAGAAAAAATATTTGAAAATTTATTTGTGGAATAAACATTTGTTTCAGAGAAATAAACTTTATTTTACACAGAAATAAACTTTATCCCACAGATAAAATCTCAAATATTTTTTCTTCAACGTATATTTCTAACAGTGATGAAATAAACTGTCGATAAGATTTATCTTGTTAATAAATTTCGCTAGCGAATTTTGTAGTAGCACATTTCGCGCGGTTCCTAAAATATAAATGACACGAAATGAAAGGACAGTCAATTACTGAGGAATATCAGTCTATCGGTTAAATGATTCTATAATAATTTTTTCATTACGAAATTCTCTCCGTGAAGCGACTGACCGCCGTTTGTATTGGCTGCAAACTTGGAACGGCGCTCACGTTATCGTCGACACTCACGTAAAGGAAATTCGATCGCGATCTCGACGCGCTTCTAGACCGTCGGTTCGTTCGACTCTGCAGCGACCGCGATCGCATATCGTATGTCCGACATAATGAAGGTAAATATAGTCGCACACACATGGACACGCTCGAGGCTTTCTATAGCCGCACACATAACGCAGTAAGAATCGATTATGAAACTGACCTTGCTGCTGCTGCTGTAATTTATATAGACCCCTTTGAGCTCATCTTCGATCGAGAGTTCCGTGTTCGGGCTGTTCGGCGGGCTTTTCGGACTGTAAATTTAAGGAAACAGTGTTACAATTTACAAACAAAAGCGCATCCCCTCGATAGGAATGATTCTCCCCATTCAGCTTCTCCTCCTCGAGTTTGGGATTCGCTTGTTTCTTTATTCGCTCGACGCGATTCGGTTCTCCTTTTGTTTTCGCACAAATCCAATTCTATCGATATTCTTACCATCCCCACTAATTAATTACGCGCGCGTAATTAATTAGTCTTCTGTCTGACGGATGTTTCAATATTGATCTATCACAGTCCACTTCAAGATGTGCAAACTCGATGTGATGGCTCAGCCTCCACTATTTTTGCAGATACTTGAAGCTCATCGTGAATGATCGAATTCCATTTAGCGGAACATACCGTCTTTTCTCTTTTTTTTATTTGATTTTCGATACCCCGAGTAATTTTTTAGGTCAGTGTTCTACCTTAGCGAGTCTAAAAGTCAACGACCTTCCCAACCTCCCAGTAAACTAACAATTAAATCATATGTCTGCCTTTGTTTCTCCCTCAAATTAGACAAAGACAGATGTATGATTTAACCGTTAGCTTAATTCTAACAAGAGATTGGAAAAAGCGGCCCTAAAGCTCACTACGCCGGGCTGCTCCTTGTTGAAGCTGTTAAGGAAGCTATCCATTAGAGATTTGCGTTTCTTTTGGAAAGGTACTAAGGTAGCTGACGAAAATGCGAGAATGACAATGAACATGAGTACCTTGAGCGACTTCTTGAGACTGCATCCTTCCTCAATAATTATAATAACAATAATAAATACACCGGATGTTAGAGCAATTAATTGCTGTGTAATGCTAACAACGCCAGAGTATAAATAACGTACTCGATATTGCCTCGCTTTCAGCTCGGCGCTAATTTGAATCACAAACGACCTCGCAATTTGTGCCAGACCTGTGCGCCATTGTGTCGTTTTACTTGATTTATACACGACTCCCGTTACAACTAGGCGAATCTGCGTTTTCCGCGTTTTCCCGCTACACTCTCTGCGCTTTTTCCCACGCGTTCTCTTACTTATGACTAACGCGGGAAACTGCCGATTCGTCTATAACGCGCGATAAGAGCGTACAAATCGCAATAAATGCGCGGTACGTGCAAAATCGCGACAATAAATCCTCGCCTTGGACATAGTGAATGCAGCGAGAAAAGGATTTTGTTGTCGAAATGAAAATTTATTGCCGCTGGTATTTAGCTTTCTCACCGATACATGTGCTCGATACAAATGAAAACATAGTAATGCCAATCAAATATGTATACCAAATATTTTATTCCCAAATACAAGAATAATTTTGTACGTATCGTGCATCGAATCAAAATTTGGGTAAAATGGAATTAACCAAATGTTCAGTAAATACTGCAACCAAATAATTTAATTGCCGCTTGTGTGTTCTGCTTTCTCAACGATACATATGCTTGACACAAATGAAAACGTAATGTCAATCAAATCGTATATGTACCAAATACTTTAATTCCAAATACAAAAATAATTTTTTCCTACATTTCAAACCTACGTTTGCGAGTCATCGTCGTGTTACGCGTGACCGTGCGCCTCGCAGAGTCGCGAAGTCGATCGAGTCGATCCAGGGTCGCGAGTCGCAATGCAGTTGGCGTTGCGGTTATACTGGCACGTGGCGTCGATATCACGGCGAAGAAGAGAGCCGGCTATCACTCCGTTATCGGTTTCGTTATCATCGATGCGTCCTCTCGACAAAAGTGCGAGTGCACAGTGCCGCGTGATAAGTGCGCGTACGTGTCAAGTGCATCATACGACATGTACAACGCGCAGGGTCACGCGTTATCTACCTTCCGATCGAGCCGTGCTGTACACGTTGAAAAATATTGTAGTAAAAATCACGTTGAAATCATATTCGTTCACGCAAAGAAAAAACTAGCTTCCAGAGCTAAAAAAAAAAATAGCTGTGGCAGATAAGATGTGTCACTGAAATAGGGACAGCTAATGTTGATACTACCAAAGCTTTAAATTTATTCGCTGTTTAAACTTAGGCGCTACCGCGAGAAATATTAGTTGCTAGAAATAATTGACTAAACAAATGATTGTAGCTGTGCGGCAAACTTCTTTAAGATATGCATACGATAAGAAATTTAATAATAACTACCATTTTCTTAGCTACTTGAAATAATGTGCATTTTTAATGTCACTTAATATATTTGTATTTCATAGCGAATGCATTTTAGCTGTCATAGCCAATTCTTAGCAGTGATAGCTAAACGATTAGCCTTTTGACTAATTGTAAGTTTGAATCAGTTACCGCGGTTTAGCTGATATTACCAAGTCATTTTTTTGCGTGTTTTTCCAATTGTTCCTGTGAAACTGGACTGCACCGCGAAATTGTACACTGAAAAAAAAAATTGGCCGTCGAAACTAAAATTTGGATAAAATGGGATCAACCAAATATTTGATAATTGCAATGAAAAAGCTTAATTGCCGCCATTTTGTTTTGCTTAGTGACTAAGTAAATATATTACGCCAATTAAATTTTTTGATTGTAATTATCAAACATTTGGTTAATCCCATTTCAACCAAATTTTCATTTTCAACCAAATCCTTTCTTTAGTGTAACATAAATCACTATTATTTCCGTCACCTTTGGTGTGTGCCGCGCGATCTTATTTATATTAAATATTAATATTCCCAAATATGCATGTACATCTGCTTGACAACAAAATCCTAAATATCAAAAAGTTATATAAACCTTAAACATGGGTAAATTTTAGCTAGCGCATTTTTATTCGCTCAGAACTTCCGGAAAAATTATCGGAATTTAATCCTTTTCTCTTTTTTATTCGGTGTAGAAAACAACGAAAGAAAATATGAGTCTACTAACGCGATTCAATGGAAGTGAAAAAAGTTACAACAAAAAAAAAAAACAAAATACATGTAGTAACATTTTAGTAACATTTAAAAAATTAGGGTAGATTTTGACTATGTTTAAAGTTCTAGAGTTTATTGACCCAGTCTGTTAACTGGCTCAATGTTTATATATTTTTAATACATTTTTGTATGTATATTTTGGCCCAATGTCGGGAAGAAAGGAAACGTCTCGCGTATAATTTATTATCTAAATTACCTCACATGAAATTTTACTCGAAATGTAGAGTGCCAACCTGAAAACAAGCGACTTTTCGACCGTATAAAGTAATGCTGCAATTCTAAGCAAATATACGAGTAAATGGTAAAATCGTAAAGCCGTAACTTATAAAAAGAAACAAAAAAAATCGTAGATATTTACGAGTTATCATATTACATACAATTCGCATAGAATTGCAGATTTACTCATAAGTTTTTATGAGTCTTGCGAAGACAAGTTACGAGTTTTACAATTTTGTCTAGAATTGAAGTATAAATCCCTCCGAACTGTCGAGTAAATATTTTCGTTCGGAATTTAATAAATGAATCTGATGTACTCGTCGTTGGAGCAAATGTACTCTAACCGGCTGAAACATTCACTCGCGTAGATTACTCACTTAAGTAGAACTCACTTTTGACACAAGTTAAATATTCCGCTCTTGTGATTTCGAGTGGCGATTTTCATTATTCTCTCGAGCGAATTTCATTCCAAGAAATTCGAGGGAATAAAGAAATGTTAAATAATAGTCGCGTTAAATTACAGCTCGCGATACGTGTTGAGAAAATAATTTCTGTATTGAAACTAAAATATTTGGTGCATATACGATTTGGCTGGCATTACCGTGTTTTTTATTTGTGTCAAGTATTAATGAAAAAGCAAAATACACAGGCGACAATTAAATGTTTTCACTACAGTTACTATATATTTGGCTGACCCCATTTTAACCAAATTCTATGGTCGGGTATATCAAACTTGCGTTTCGACAACAAAGCCTTTTCTCAGTGCGTGTCGGCGCAACCGAAATTTACTTAACCCTAAGTTTAATCTACAACATGCTCTTTGTCTCCTGTTTCTTATTCTCTGTCTTTTTCTAATCTTAAGCCTGATCTACAATAAGATCTTTGCGCTCTGTTTCTTGTCTTCTGTCTTTTTCTGACTTAAAGCTTAAGGTTTGAGACAGAAAGAAAAAAAAGCAGGAAGCAAAGAGTATGTCGTAGATCAAACTTTAAGACCTAATGTTTGAGGAAAGAGAAAGAAATAAGAAGCAAAGAGTATAATTAAGATTGTATAATAAATTAGGCTTTAAAGAACATAATTTCGTCGCTTCACATCGTGTTTTGAAGTGCGTTATATTTTGCACGTTAATTAACTACGATAATTGTTATCACAGTATAACTGGCTGTTAGTTACATTTAATCGCAGAATTCCACGCGATAACTAGAACGAAGAAGCTCGAGCTCCCCTTCTCATTGCACTGTCGGGGAAGCACTTAGCTGACGGTGCGACAATATTTGCCGAGCGGGTTAACCGTCCAGCCGTCATTCCCTTGCCAAAAGTACCGCGCAAAAGAAAATGCGCGCCGCGAACGCGGAGGCAAACAGACGCGGTGCAGAGCGGTTTGTTTAAATGGTTCACCGTGTGACGCGCGCGTCACGCTGCGACACGTGTCGTTCACATTCCATCATCCCGCCCGAGAAATTCCAACAAATATCTGCAATGGCGTGGTATTGTCGATAACACGATCGCAACGGATTTCACGCTCAAGATGACGCTCTGCGAAAGATACGGCCGTGTGCTGTCCCCGTCAACGAGGACAAATCGATATCGCTCCGTGCACGAAGAGAATTTCATAGTAAAAATTATTGTAGAATTTTGTAATTCAAGAGTAACTTACTATCTTTTCTCTCACTTCATATTTATATTTTAAATTAAAACACTATTAAAATACTTGTTTCTAACAAAATCTACTGTGTTTTTAGCGAAATTTACGCTTTGTTCCTTAGCAAGATACTAAACTTTCATTTTGAACAAAATCCTTTTCTCAGTTCGTGAAATTTACTTAATACTTAGAGAGAACAGTCTCATCGCTTCACATCGCGTTTCGAAGTTTGTTAATCATATCTTGCGCGTTAATTATCTACGATAATTGTTATCACAGTACCTAATGACAGTCTATTTCTGACCTACTAAAAACATAGTAAGTTTGAAAAGAATTTATATAAAAAAGAATTACAATATTCTCTTCGTGCACAGTAAAAAAATTTGTGTTAAATTTAACACATTTTATCTACTCTAATTTTTTTATTAATTTAGCACAAGGCGAATATGTTAAAAAATAATACAAATGTTTTTTGATGTCAGAAATTAACACAAAAGATATTAAATATTAAATCGACACTATTTTGCAAAACTTTTATAAGCAAATTTTATGTAAAATTGACCTATTTCTAACGTCAAATATAATACAACAATAATGTTATTTTCAGTGCGAAAAATATCCTATTTATCTTCTTTTCTTATTGTTTTGTTTTTAAAATGTTGGAAAAATTATTTTAAAGTGTTGAAAAAATAAACAATTTAACCTGAAATTTTCTTAATTATATGCCCTCGTATTGATTCAATTGCTATTATACTTAGAAAATTTGCTTGCCATAAATACAATCGAACTCTGCCTCTTGTATGTGAGTCAATTATCTTACCTACTACACTACTTCTACTCTGATTATAGATAAACTTTGTATTGCATATATCGTAAGATGGCGAAAATATAATTTTTCAGTAAAATTAACATCTACAATATATTAGTCTCTATACTCAAGTATAAAATGTGTAATTTTACTATTTACGTTGAATATCACTTTGACACCAAATATTCGATTAATACACACACATGATATGTTAAATTAACAGGTTAAAAATTTAATAGAAAAATATTAATAAGGATCAGTTTTAACACCAATATAATGTTTCTTACTGTGTATTTTCAAGTGAACATGCATAATAATGAAAAATTAAAATATCGTAATTTAAAAAGCGGGACCCGAAAAGTCACAATGGCGAAAACTGAATACTAGAAGAATGTACCAAAATATAATTTTCCCGAAATACTAAAAGTATGCCATCTCCCGAAAAATGAAACAAACTTCCACAGAGTTATGTGACAAATTGTTAACAATTTTATTCGATATTTCGGGGGATTGTCTGTATACATTCTCAGTTTTCGGGATTGTAACTTTTCGGGTCGTTGTCCCGAATCTTTTTAGAATTTCGATTTACCGAGATCACATGCATGTCTCTCCGTTTTCGGAGCAATGTACCTCGCGTGTTCGTGCCAGAAAATATCGCGCCGATGTCTAGACAGTTGAAATATTCTCGGTGGGCTACTCTGTGTGCGAAGATCGAAAACTCAACTCCTTTGTTTGCAAATCGCACAAAGGCGCTTAGCTCGGCTGCCAAGATATTTACTAACATGCGTAACACGACACTATTTCGGCCGTGTTGAACACTACGCGTTAATTCGGCCGCGTGTCGTATGTACCGATATAGAAAAAATATAAATACGAATGTTTATTTGCGAATGCGACTGTGACTTCTCTTTGTGGACGACACGCAGCGTCACTATTTTCGCCCGCTGCGACACGACTCTAGCCGAGAATTTACTTAATGCGTCGCTTAATGTCGATTTGAGGGTACAGATATAGATCGAGATAATCAAATCAGTAGTGGCTATGAGTCAGCCTTCATAACTGACGAGTTTATTCCGTGAAAAAGAGAAAGAGAAACGTGATAGCGACTTTGCGAGTAGCTTCGGCGATATTTTGCATGTACGTATAAAATGAAGATTTCGCGAAGGAAGGATTCGCGTCAAAAATAAAAAAATAACGTATATAAAAAACTAATAATTGTGAAGTTAATGTAATAATTGTAAAATTACAGCGACTTTATAGGTACAGTTAATTCTTTCATCAAATAAAGCAGCCAATAAGAGCTGAACCGCGGAATTTTATGCGAAATTTAAACTTTGTTTTCAGGAAAACAATTGGCTATAGTTTGTAAGAATAATCCAATCTACGAAATTATGATTGATAAATTTTTTTACCAATGGGTAGTCCACATACGTTTTTTTACATAAAATAAAAAAGATCTGAGCCTTATATGGGCATCTAAAATTAATTAAAAAATTAATTAAAACAGTTTTATTTTCTACTAGTTGCGCTATTTTTACTCAGTTGCATTTTTTTTACCCATCTTTTAAGGGTTAAGCTCGTCAATGGGTATTCTTAAAGAAAAGAAAATTGAGCATGCTCGACTTCTTGAGCGATTACGAAAAACCTCTGTTATCTATATTTTTTAATATCATATATCAAATTCTCATCTTCATTTTTCACGAAACGTACTTTATGTGGGTTGAGTCATTTTGGCATAACTACAGCTAATTATTTGATGATTAACAGTGTCAAACTCACGTAGTGTGTCAAAATCGATCCGTGTAGAAATGGTTGTATTACATTTTATAACATTATATAACATTTTATAACATTATATAACATGTGTTAATTTAACATAATATCGTTGTGTCATTTTGATTATTCTACGTTGAATTCATATTCAGCATTTCTAAGTATTGAAGTAACACAATACTGTCCACACACAAATACTATATTTTTGTGTTAACTTTCGACATGTGATTTGTATTATTTGTTTATACATCTACTCTAGACGTAGGTCTGCTCTGTGTTGAGTCAACACGAAAATTAGAGTGAATAAATTGGAGCATACGAAATGTGTTGTTAAATTTAACACAAAATTGTTTCTAGTATATTGTTTCTCTCCGTGGGTCATCGACCTTTTTCTGACTTATATATACGAGGAATTTTGCCTTATATCTCGAGAAGATCCGATGTGAGTTCGCAAGGCACTGTAGCACAGGAGAAGATTTTTTCGTTTGCGCGGATCGTCGTATCTCGGATTCTCGAAGGCAAGATGAAGACGAGAATGACGACTACGACACCGTTTATTTTCTTATGCCGAGACTCTTCGCCACGAAAGGGATAGGGGAAATGGCAAGCGAGCTTTTTATGATCCCGTAGGTCGGCGAGGAGAACGACAGTGTCGAGGACTTGGGTAGATATAAGTGTCGAGTTGAACGGCCGGCTTTGTTGGCCGACTCTCTTCGGACGCCTTTCGATTCTCTGGCTCTTGCTGCGCTCGCGGCGAATTCTCCGCTCGAGTAACTTCAGTTAAAAGAGCGGTATGCCATAATTGCGAGAGAATATTATCCTCAATTCATGCGCCAACACGAGGCTAGGCTCACATGAGAAAGTTTCCGAAACCGGGAAGCACTATAAATTCCAAAATTCCCTATCTCTTTCGCTTCGAAATCAGGAACTCGAATAGACCTCAGTGCGGAATGTTTCTCGAGAATATGAGAGAATCCACCAAAATCGCGCTCGCATAACACGAAGGTACCATATCGAGTTGATTCGAAAATCTTTCCATAGAACACGCGTCTAATTTTTTCGACATACACTTAAAAAAAATGATTCCATAAGTGGAGAAATCTTATTTTATTTCTGTTTGGAAACTGCTCTGTTTATATACCGACACTTGTTACGTCACGGAAAGATTTTCCAACCGATCTGACAATTAAAGGGGACACAATCATTAAAAAAGATAATGATAAAGCATAATTAAGGATGCTTACCTGCCCTTCGGACTGTTTCGGTGCGAAGACGCCAAGGAGTGCCTCTCGGACGAGTGTGTGGAATCCCTCTGCGCCTCTCGTAGAAGACGTAGATATTCCTCGCCGGCACTGCTAAACGGCTGCGGCGTTATCCGTTCCGGCACGGAGCTCAACTCCACCCATGATTCTGCGCAAATTGAGAGAAAAATCTGTCACTTCGTGCGGCAAAAGTTTAAAATTAAACTTGATTCGTTCTTTTCGCGAATTTTTCATAACGCGATTAACCCGCGGCATTACGACCATCTGGTGGCCTTCTTTGGGACCAATTTAATATTAACGCGCTGCGTCCTCAATCCCTCTTTGCAGAAATTTAATTGTTTTCTCAGAGAGCTTCGTTTCGAGGTACTGGATACATAACGCGGAGGCTGAGTGTCGTTGAACGATATACGTGATGACAGTGTAACATTTTTAAAAATAGCACCACCGACCGTCGTATCGATCGTGGTAACCCCATGAGGTCAAGTTGAAGGGAAATTTCATATCTCTGTGTTGTAACAAGCGCTGGATGCGGCTTATTTTACGGTATCAACCCCTACATCCCATACGTGCCGTTAATTCTCGCGAGTGAAATCGCCGAGAACGTGCAGGAAATCCTAACGTCTCGAATGTCCGGAGAAATATTCAAGTTCCCGCATATAGAAAAGTTCTTGGGATCTAATCGGATCCAGTCCAATTTCCAAAAGTAATTATGGGTTCTAGGTAGAAGCGCAAAAACGTTCCAAACTTTCTGTTCTAAATGGGGAAACCCAAAGTTTTTCCGATATTCTCTCTCGTCCTCATTTCACGTTGGAATTGAGCAAAACATATTAATTTTCCAGATAATTTCATTATTCAATGAAAAAAAATGCTCCAAGTATCTTAAAAATATTTTGCTTTTTGATATTAACTACTTAAATTAACAATATTTTACTCTATCGAATACGATAGCTAGTACAAAAATAGGGATTCCTTGTTTGATACCATATATCAATTACCGACAATAAAATTGTCATTATCGAGGACCCCAAAATCAGGCGAAACATCTATGGACGCTTGGCGGTACTTTTTGCTCCAAAATTGGTATTCTACTACGACACCAATTGAGATTTTAGCTCTACTTCCGACTTGAGCTTTCTATAACCTGTATATGCTGAAAGATTAGTGTATGTTTAATACACATGGAGACTAAAACCCTACTTAGCGTCGCTAAATGACAGAAAACGCACAAAACGCCTCTTGTAGGTTCTAGGGAGTAATCTAGGGAGTAGGAGTAAAACTCTCTTCTAAGTAAGACTAAATAGAATCGAGATTAAATAGAATAAAGATTAAATAGAATCAAGAGAAGTTGACATAGGTTTTAGAGTATTCAAGTAGGTGTTAAATGGAATATTTAGATCAAAGGTAAAGAGGATCAAAATTTCACAAAAATCTGTCCTTAAAAGACGTCTCATTTTAAACGTGAACGTGAAGGCGTTATTAGGCTTGGTCTATAGTATATAGAGTAAGCTTAGTATAAGTAAAAAATAAAAATAATTTATTTCGCCTATACTATAACTCCCTTATACCGGAAGTATTTCATATAAACAAAATAAATTATTTGTATTTCTTACTTCTATTCTTACTTCTCACATCAAACTTATTCTATACATTATAGGCCAAGCCTTAAGTTAAAATCACGCTGAATTTAAGTCAATCTCTTTTGGTGTCATCTGTTGAAATTAGAATTCTTTTGGGTCATTTTTCTCGAGAATAGTAAAAATAGAGAGTTATATATTTGGAATCGACTCAATGTGAACTTAAATCGTACACAAAAAAAATATCATTATCGAGGGCTTCAAAATCAGGCGAAACTTGGCTGTCTTTTTCAAATCAGAATCTATGCTGCATGTGGAAAAACCTTGGAAATTTCTGTGTGGGTTATGATCACGTAAGTAATTTTTAAACGCTAAAAACGTCGTGTGTATCATCGATATTTTATTGGCGCAAGTAATTCGCGTTGCCGACACGTTTTCCAAATGACTTATGCGGCGTTTTCTTATCGCAGGCACCTTCATAACGTGACTCACGATTTCCGTGCGCAAAACAACGACGAGCAAAACACAACTGATACTTCCAATAGCGTATCCGCACTAACCAACCGTTTTTCGACATCCTCTGCGTCTTTTACGTAAGCGACACGGCGTACGGATTAAAGTTTGCTTCAAATGATGATCGTCACACGAGCCGTGGTCGCCATTACGGCGGAACGATTTCGTTCGTTGCATTGTATGCTAATAAAGTTGCTCAATGTGCGTGACAAAATAATAACGTGAATTGACGATAAACGAAAATAAAATCTACGCAGAAAAAACAATATTTTTGTTTAAAAAATATATTTAGTTTTGATATGTTAATCTTCAAATGCGATTACATGAAGAGGCACTAAACGAAGATAAGAATATTCTCGCAAGAATATATTTTATATGATTTTTCCAACAAAGAAAAACCTGCATTCGTATCATTCATAAATAATTTTCGTTGTGCAAAGCACAAAATATTACATTGAGAATATGATGCTTTTATGTGTTATGTTGCAGCTTCCCTTTGCACTTAAAATTAAAATAATACTTAATTATTTTCCGAGCCATAATTAATACTTAAATTAATAACTAACACTTAAATTATTTTCCGGATCATAATTTGGTTGAAATGAAATCAACCAAAAAATTTAATTAACACTATATGTGTCAACAATACATATATTTGACACAAACAAAGAGCATATATAATGCCAACTAAAATATATATATATATATATATATATATATATATATATATATATATATATATATATATACACTAAATATTTTAGTTTCAAATACAAAATAATGTTTTCAGTAAAATAATCATTGTTTCACGTGTGAACAACAATACATAATTTTGGTAGTCAAAATTTTCTCCACTTTCAACAATTATTTGTCGAATTGAATAGAAAATATATTGATACGTAAGCGTGTAATCTTCATTAACGTTATGCAATTTTATTTGAAAATTAATATGTCAAAAACAAAGATATTTTACGAATCTTACAAGAGTCCTTTTTTTGTGTAATTTCTAATTTCGCGCGGGACTTCGCCTCTGATAGAATAAATAACAAAGCATTCGTTTAGAGGTAGCTATGTATTTTTATATGAATAGTTATTTTCAAGCAAATAATTAGCATTTCACGGCACGCAACGTTCCATCCGGTTGAAATTCGCACACGTAGTAAAGCGATACGATAAAGCGCCTCCGGTGGCCTGTATGAAGTTAGCCCCCCACTTTTCGAATTTATTAATTTTGACAGTTGTGCTGATTTGTGCTAGGTTTGTGCTACATTGTGCTCGAATTATAAATTTTTAATTCGAAAAATGAGGGAGAAAAATGGAAAAAAATCGTTTTTTTTTATAGCCCCCCACTTTTTGATTTTCGAAATTTTTTTTATTGTGCTAGGTTGTGCTAAGTTGGGCTAACATTGTGCTAAAGTATTATCTTCGAAAAATAATCATAAAAGGAATAAAACGAAAAAAACGATTTTAGACAGAAAAAAAGAAAAGTAAGATTTATATTCGTATAAGTCAACCATACAATATATAATTATATATCTGAGTTGCTCTAGGCTAGCACAAGT